AGGGGCGAGGTTGTGGTTAGAACGCTTGGTTGAGTGCATCAGACGAGACGATGAAGAAGTTCATCAAAGCCGGAACTAATCGAGCCGTTTGTGCCAGGCTGGGGAGAAAGGTATTGTAATAATGTAAATTATGTAAAAAATTATGCGTTTTTCGAACCACCAAGCATGAGAGCATGTTCTAGTACACCCCCAAAACAAAATCAAGACTTTGTAAAAGAGCATAATAGGACCCCTTTAAGAAATAAATACTTTAAAAACTTAAAAACTTTTTTTTTTCTTTTACTTTAAATTTGTATATGTTTGACTAATCAGCATTTCAGAGATATTTTTTACTGTATGTTTTGTTATCTGTAATAACACAACAAATTATTTGACCGCAAAATATGTCAGAAAATCTGACGAAAAAAACCCCTGCTTACACTAGAGTTAGTTTCTTTCTGGTCCGTACACATTTCCTGAACATGTATAACAAGAGAGAAGTGATGGCATAAAGAAAGGTGAGCGCGCCCACGAGGCACACTAGGGAAAGAAAGGGGTCTAGTGTCACGGAGACCAGCTCTGCACATCTCTCCCCGATAAATTGCCAGAATTTACCTACAGGACATCTAAAAGGGTCGAGAGAGACAGTTAGAACATGTACAGTGGAGGATTGTTCCTAAAGAGATCCATCAGAGCTACACAACAACATCCCTGTGTTTACATGTTTCTAAAGAACAAAGTCATTTCTTGATTTTTTTTTTTTTTTAAGAAATTTCCAAAAATACTGGAGTGCTGGCAAACATATTAAGTTTGCCAACATATAGTTAGAAACTTGATTTACCTAGTTAAGGTAAAAACCTAGATCTCACATTAGAGACAAGCATTCTATTCAATTCCAAAACAGAACTGAATTGCATTTAGATCATGGAATCTAACTGTTCATAGCTATATGTGACCCTGGACCACAAAACCAGCCATTTTTGAATTTTTTAATATACTTATCATCTTAAAGCTGAATAAATAAGCTTTCCATTGATGTATGGTTTGTTAGGATAGGACAATATTTGGCCGAGATACAACTATTTGAAAATCTGGAATCTGAGGGTGCAGAAAAATCAAAATATTGAGAAAATCACCTTTAAGGTTGTCCAAATGAAGTTCTTAGCAATGCATATTACTAATCAAAAATTACGTTTTGATATATTTACGGTAGGAAATTTACAAAATATCTTCATGGAACATGATCTTTACTTAATATCCTAATGGTTTTTGGCGTAAAAGAATAATCGATCATTTTGACCCATACAATGTATTGTTGGCTATGTCTACAAATATACCCCAGCGACTTAAGACTGGTTTTGTGCTCCAGGGTCACATATGTGTTTGTTCTCTGAGGTACCTGCAAGCGGCACCGTGCCCTGGTACAATCTCACACTCTCCTCCATTGAGACAGAAGTCAGGCTGGACCACACAGAGGCTCCGACATGGCAGTCCATCCACCGTCACGTAGCCTGGGTCACATAAACATTGTGCTTCCTTTGTCCAGAGGTTTACCACGCATTTGGAAAACTCGTTGCAGGCAAGAAACTTGCAAGGGTCACCTTGATCAGCTAAAATGAAAGAAGAAATGGGACTCATCTTAATTGTAGCAATTCTTGACCTTCTGTGAGAAATTCTGTCCGTGTCCAGACAGACTGATGCAGTTTTGAAATGAACCAGCCAGCTGATGTATGATGCTTGCAAAGCCCAAGACTCTTACCTGGTCCTATGTCTAGGGAATGGCTGTCAACCGTTATGTCCAAATGCTGGGCTGCAGCATTACAAAACTCCTCCAAGACGTGCTGGACAGCCTGAGTAATGTTGTACGGCACAGACTTGGCAAATTTTGCCTTGCTATTGACCACCACACTTCCGTTTCTGAAGTTTAGGATCTCTAACTTCTTAAAGCCTGTTAGGTTAGACTGTAGATATGGGAGTAGCTGTGCACAGAGGAGACAAAAGCCTAGTTTATGTATGTCCACCATTCAAAATCCACTGGACAATTGCAGGAGTTAGCAAAAGGAATCTAAGCGCAAATATTATCATACTGCAGAGTGTAAGCAGTATAGTCTCGTTTTTAAAGATTGCATAGGCTATGCAGTGAAAAGCATTAAGATGAAGCAATATGCTGATGTTCACCCATTCACTCATCACTATAAGAAACTGCTTTATGAAGAAAATAAAGAGTTGTATGTTTTCTTACTGTAATATCCCACTATTAATGAGGATGTTAATAAGCCAGCCAACAGAAATTGAAAGAGCTGCACTCACCAGTTCAACAAATGTGTTTTCCAACGATCGGTATTCTGCAGAGCTCTTATTGAAAAGATCTTCAGAGAACAGCATGTTTGTGACACGCAAACTGAAAAACACTACTAGTTCTTTGCCTTTGTTAGCTGTGGTCATAGAAGGAGTTGTGAAATACTTTAGTGATGGCGCTCTTGTTGTCTCCAAGGGATATCCTTCATTTGGGAAAGAATATCCATTGTGATAACTCAAGAGATCAATGGTCTCAGTACTTACTACATCTATTTGGTCTAACTCTTTTAAATGAATAAATGGGTCTTCAGTTTCCACATCCAGCACTTGGTCATTTTCTGACTCAAATATAACATCCTGGGCAACAGTTGGTTGTGCTTTTTCGGTCTGTGAATCATAATCCTTTTCCAAAAATACTGGAGTAACGACTGATGCATCTGTTAGAACATCTTCCTGAGTTTCCACATTCAGCATTTTGCCATTTTCTGTCTTCGTAAAATCAACATCCTGGGCAACAGTTGATTGTATTTTTTCAGTTGGTGAATCATAATGCTTTTCTAAAGGGGTTGGCGTAACGACCGATACATCTGATAGCACTACTTCAAAACTGTTAAGGTCTGCAGGTGAAGTTGTCAAAGGTAGATCAGTTGCGAGTGTCTCCATGGGTTGTGATGCAGTCTCTTCTTCTTGTTCTACAAGGAGATCTTCTGTTGGAGTGTCTTCCTCTGGGAAATCATTAATGATGATATAAATTACATCTGAAGTGCAAAATAGTTAATGTGTGACAGTTCAGCAGTCATATCCCCTCAAATATTCTCTTATACGTGAGATAAAAGACTTTCACCTTAAACAACTGCTGTCACTTCTGCACTCAGGTGTCTTATTTTCTTTTAGCCTTTTATTCTGCCTTAATTCCACAATCAAATTTAAATTAGACAGCCTGTAATGTTCTGTAATGAGAGCTATGATTGGGAGCATCTCTCTGAACATCTCTTTGACCAAACAATTTTATTGAGAAACACAGATGGCATGGCTCTCTTACCCATCTCTGTGAGCTTTGGCTCCTCGGTATCTCCAACAACAGATGGTAACTCCTGGGCAACAGTTGATTGTACTTTTTCAGTTGGTGAATCATAATCCTTTTCCAAAGGGGTTGGCGTAACAACCGATTCATCTGTTAGCACTACTTCAAAAAGTGTTGTCAAAGGTAGATCAGTTGCGAGTGTCTCCGTGGGTTGTGATGCAGTCTCTTCTTCTTGGTCTTCCTCTGGGAAATCATTAAAGTTAGGTTGTAAATTATATTTGAAGTGCAAAATAGTTCAGTGTTTCAGATGACTGCTAAAACTCATTTTGTGAAAATTTTCCATGTTAATTCTAAAACGTTTTTATTGAGAAACAGCGTAGATCTCTCACCCATCTCTTCAAACTGTGGCTCCTTAGTATCCCCAACAACAGATGGTAAGTCCTTATCTTTCTTCGAAGCTGATTCTGTGATCATTTCAGGTAGAGATTCTAAGGCACTTGATACAGTAATGAGAACATCAGACACTTCTGGTCTTAGGGTTTTTCCCTCTGTAACCAGATCTGGTATCTCAAAAACTCCCTCAATAACCTCCGGTTTGAAGAGTTGATCCTCCACCCCAAAGTCTTCCACATGTTCAGGTTTACCAATGTCTGTGCCTGGTTGAACCCTGTCAACTGGCACAAAAGGCAAATTAGCACCTTCTTTGGGTTGGTAATTGTCAACATTCTCAACAAGGTAAGTTTCTGTGACAGAAATCTCAGGTGGTTTAATCTTAATCATCTCTGCAGGAGGTTTGGTTGAACCTTCAGTGGTTTTGGGGACCTCACTCGCGATCTCCACAGCGGGCTGTTCAGTTTCGACGCTGCCTTCATATTCTGCAACTTCAGCAGGTTCTGATTCATCAGCTTCTCTTTCAGGTTTCACCACCTCACCCTTTTCTGTTAAATGAAGTTCCTCCTTAGGTTGTCCTGTCTCAGTTTCTGGCCTCCTGGTTGCCTGAACGTCATCCACTTGTTTCACTTTAATCTCATCAGTTTTATGCTCCTCAACATCTTCTTTCGATTCTATAATGACCTCTGGATCTGGCTCTAAAGCTTTTTCCTCTGGTTCTGCTACTTCATCCTGGTTAGTTGATGTTTCAATCTCATCCTCTGGTTCTGGTAGCACAACTGTTCCCACAGGCTCTAATGTGCCATACTCAGCATGCATTTCTGTTACTACAGTCACTTCTTCAGGCTGTAATACCTGGTCTTCTAAAACGACAGCATCTACTTCTTCAGGTCGTAATACCTGGTCTTCTAAAACGACAGCATCTACTTCTTCAGGTCGTAATACCTGGTCTTCTAAAACGACAGCATCTACTTCTTCAGGTCGTAATACCTGGTCTTCTAAAACGACAGCATCTACTTCTTCAGGTCGTAATACCTGGTTTTCTAAAACGAAAGCATCTCCAGTTACATTGGTAGCTTTCTCAGGTCCAGATACTTTTACAGTTTCTGTTGTCACAACCTTTACCTTGGGTAAATCAACCTCAGACTTGGTCTCTTCGTCTGGTTCAGGCATCACCACTTTGGTCTCTTCTTCCTTTACTACCGTTCCAGTGTCCACTGGTTGAGGCACCTCTGGAATTTCATTAGAATCTGTCACTTCAGTTATTGGATCAATTGGTTCAGTTGAAGGTTGCAGGGTGATGCTAAAGTCAGTTGTGACAGCCAACTTTGGTTGTTCAGACCTAGGACTAACGGTTGTTGCAGTGGTGAACAAAATGTGGGCGGTGGTTAACGGGTGAAATGGGATGTCATCTTCTGGTATCGTGTTTAGACTGAAGTCACTATCTGGTGTAGGTTTCTCTGTAGTCCTAGGCTGTTCTTCACTCGGGGGTAATGCTGAGGCAGCAGCTGAAGATGTTGGAGTTGAATTGTTGTCTTTTTCAGCAATAACAACTGGCTTGCTGTCATCCTCACTAGGAGCTTCCTCTACTGGTGGAACTTGAAAAATCTCTGTTATGAGTTCACCAGTTTCCCCTTGAATAGTTTTAAGCTGGTGTATAATGACTGCGTCACTCTCAGGCTCAACTGTTTCTGATTCTGATTTTGTTGTTGACGTGGTGCTGTCTGTGTCCAAAGTTGGGTCTACAATGGTCTCATCATCATCTGATGAAATATGAACTTCAATCTTTGGTCCTTTTGTTGGAAAACTGAGGTCACCATATGAATCTTGATCAAAGGACTGCAAATTAACAGGTGTACAATTATGTTATTGCATTCAAAGATGTTATGTTAACCCTATCTCTGTTTCATAAACATATAAAATAAGTAACACAGAGCACAAACGACTTAAAACATATAGTTCTGGTCCTGGATGCTGATTGGCTGATACGGCACTGCAATATACAATACACTAGCAGGTATGAAATCTTCCCCAGCTGCTGCATATACAGGTGCATCTCAATAAATTAGAATGTCGTGGAAAAGTTCATTTATTTCAGTAATTCAACTCAAATTGTGAAACTCGTGTATTAAATAAATTCAATGCACACAGACTGAAGTAGTTTAAGTCTTTGGTTCTTTTAATTGTGATGATTTTGGCTCACATTTAACAAAAACCCACCAATTCACAACAATAAAAAAAACATTTTTAGTGAAATGTTGGCCTTCTGGAAAGTATGTTCATATACTGTACATGTACTCAATACTTGGTAAGGGCTCCTTTTGCTTTAATTACTGCCCCAATTCGGCGTGGCATGGAGGTGATCAGTTTGTGGCACTGCTGAGGTGGTATGGAAGCCCAGGTTTCTTTGACAGTGGCCTTCAGCTCATCTGCATTTTTTGGTCTCTTGTTTATCATTTTCCTCTTGACAATACCCCATAGATTCTCTTTGGTGGGTTTTTGTTAAATGTGAGCCAAAATCATCACAATTAAAAGAACCGAATTGGTAAACTACTTCAGTCTGTGTGCATTGATCATCACAATTAAAAGAACCAAAGACTTAAACTACTTCAGTAGTTTACTTCAAACTTTTCCACGACATTCTAATTTATTGAGATGCACCTGTATTACTATTAACCCTTAGTTTACACGTATATAGTTTACAAATATATCTTCTAGTGGATGACACTGTAATATCTTTATTAAAAGTTGTCCTTATATATTTATTTTAATTTGGGAACAAAGAAGCAATACATCTGTGCTGTGTGTCAGTATGGAAGGCATCGCAGGCATTTCTCTGTGAGCTGTGCCCCTTTAGCCATGACTATATTGACAATATAGAATGATCTCTTGTTCCTAATTGCGTAATTGTATGACATTAGTCACCTCAGTCATAATGTCTTCAGAAACAGTCACAGGCATTCTCGTTGAAGACTGGTCTTTGCCTGATGCGAGAAAATGTGTACACAACTTATAAATACTATGTGATGAACTTATACAAGATAATCAAACAAGATTCTTTTAAAATAAATTGTAAATGGAAATACATATTTATAATTATATACATTTACCTGTCTCAAAGGTCAGTGAATTAAGATCAAGAAGAGATGCCTTTTTGCTCAGTGCTTTAACTATCATATCCTTCAGACTTGGTCCTGTAGATGAAACAGCCGTGCCAATGTCCAGATTTCCATCAGCACTGGAAGGTATGGTAGTCTCAAATACAGCTGAGTAAACTGCAGATAGTCCTCCAGCTCTGGATAAATAGAAGCAATGTGCATTTATATTTATTCGTGTAGCAGTCGTTTTATCGAAGCAATAGAAACGAAAGCTGATGTACACAAAGACTATACACATTATACAACACACATGAACACATTATGTAACTTTTACCCTTTAGGTGCTTCTGCCTCACTTGCATGTATGACAGAAAACAGAAAATAATCAAATGCAACAAGTAATCAGACATGCACAAACAGCTCACTAGTGAAATATGGAATTTAATGGAAACAGGATGCAAACACAGCTAGGCTTGTATTTCAGTGTGAATGTAAATCCCTATTTTCACAGCAGTAATTCAGAGCTCAGCTGATCAGTTGGTCACTGCTGCTATAATTAAAGTCATATTAAAAGAGTACGCCTACCTAATACTTAACACTTGGACATCCATAAATCCAGGTAGGTCATTAAAAGCATGTTGCATCTGCAAAAAACAAACAAGCATGCACTTTAATATCTAATGTTGCCCATCATATATGGGTATAGCTATAGGCAAATGTATTAACCAGAACTGCACAATTATTAGGCGCGTTTCCATTACCCTTCAAATTGCGCAAATTGAAATTGCGAATTGAAAATACGCCTAATGGAAACGCGTCAATTTCGCAAAAATGCCCATATATCGCCAAAAAGTTTTTATGCTCGTATGAGCTGGTTTTTCAGGCAATGCGAAAAAGTAATAATTCGCAAAACTGCAATGGAAACGTTTTTTTTCGCATTTACAGGTCACATGGCGTATGTAAAAAGTCATATGATCATTCTTCAATGTACTATAACCTCCAAGAAACACTTCTTACGTGGCTGCTCTCCAGTATAAGGAGCTTTCCCTCTCATTAATGCTTAGACAAGTTACACTGCACACAGTGTGGCTCTGTTGAATAATCTGAGCCTCCTGCCCTCTAATAAAATAAAATTCAAGGGACTTACAATTTAAATACATGCATAGTATGTCCAGCATGCAAATGGAGAAATGCCCAAATTACATATATTTATGAAAGGAAATCCGCAGAAAATCACAGTATGTGTTATTATGTGCACACTTTGATTCTTCAAAAACACTGAATTTTGGATCATTGTTTGGTCATTTTCACACACCTGATCCTGAAGATGCCTTGACAGGTCATGGTACTGAGGTGAATCGGTGTCTCTCAGTATCTCCTGATACCCATAGTCCATCAGTATAACACTGAACTCTATGACCCGATGTACTGGCTGCTCAGCAACCACATTGTGAAGATCCAACTCCTACAAATGTATTACAAGAGCTATTTAATAATTAGTGCAAAAAACATGCAGAATTCCCCAAACGGTTTAAACAACTTTCCGGGTTAAATCTTTTATTTTAAACATTTTAACTGAAGAATTCATGCAAGTGCTACAATAAAAATTCTAAAAACAAATACCACCATCCCTTCCCTCCACTAAACACCTACAAACTGTTCAGAGCATCCTTCTCTTTACCCCATCCTCCGCCACCACCTTCCTGTTCCTCATCTTCTAGTTCTGACTCTCACTCACATCAACAACACATCTCTCACTACTGAAAGGTTTCCTTTTGTATTTAAGCAGGCTGAACAGGAGGGGTGTCTAAGTCATTCAAGTCACTACTCACTGAGGTGCATTAAGGTTCATTGTTTTGTCCCCTGTGTTCCAGTTGAACTTTACTAATCATTTTATTATTCATTTGTAAATTCCTGTAGATAAAAGTAAGCCAAGGCTTATTGACCTGGTGGTCGTGGCCTAAAATGAAAGCAGAGCAAAGGCTACATATACTGTAAACAATAAGTTGTCACTATATTTAAAAAATTAATTTCTATCAACCACTACTGCCCGTTTTGAAAGTACATGTAGTATGTTATGTAAATTGTGCTCCAGACCTGTGAGGCAGAAGATGTGTCTGTTGTAGTACTGACAGTACTAGACAGATCTGGGGGAACAAATTCTTCTACTGCTGCTTCAGTCGGGACTTCTTCTGATCCTGAACAACAGAGATTGAGCTTAGCTGAATTTACTAAAATGATAGCATCTCATTGAATACCAAAAACAATTCAACTATACCTTCCGTTCTTGGTGCTCCATCAGTTGTTGGCTCTTCAGTCATATTTCTATGAATTAAAAATGAATATGTATCATGGTATTAAAATAACCACGGTGCACCATTTTTGTTATAGATGATTTGAAGATGTTTCCAAAATATGAAATAATAGTCGTGATTCCAAGTGCAGTCTCACCGTTCTAATTTTTCACTATTCATATTCACCCTCTGTAAAGGAAAAACAAACATATTACAAAACAAATTTAACTTAAACATTTAAAGGAATAGTTCAGCCCAAAATAAAAATGTACTCACCCTCAGGCCATCCAAGATGAAGATGGGTTTGTTTCTTCATCAGAACAGTCATCTTTAAGTCAAGTCACCTTTATTTCTATAGCGCTTATACAACAGCAAAAGATTTGGAGATATCACTTGCTCACCAATGGATCTTCTGCAGTGAATGGGTGCCGTCAGAATGAGAGTCCAGACAGCTGACAAAAACATCACAATAATTCACAAGCAATCCACACCACTCCAGTCCATCAGTTAACATCTTGAGAAGCAAAAAGATGTGTGTTTGCAATTAACAAATCCATCAAGATGTTTTTAACTTCAAACTGTTGCTTCCAGCTAAAATATGAGCACTCTATCAATAATATTGCTTTCTCCTGTGAAAACGTTGTCTCATCTGAATCAGGAGATAAATCTGCACAGATCAAGTACCGTTTACAAGTGAAAACAATCCAAAACAGTTCTTAATAAATTAGTCTGAAGTGATAAACAACAGGGGATGGACTCCTTCTCTGGTGGAATTTTGGACCCATATTTTGGCCAGAATGCATTAATGATGGATTTGTTGCATTCAAACATGTAAACGTGTAATTGATGGTTGTATGGATTACTTTACTGTAATGGATTATTGTGATGTTTTATCAGCTGCTCTCATTCTGACGGCACCCATTCACTGCAGAAGATCCATTGGTGAGCAAGCGATGTAACTGTAAATAAAACCAGTTCCGATGACGAAACAAACTCATTTACATCTTGGATGTCCTGAGGGTGAGTACATTTTCAGCAAATTTTCATTTTGGGGTGAACTATTCCTCTAATTTTTGGCCTATCATTTGGAGATATTCAGGGCAGCTCTTATTTCACAATCACCCATAGACACTGAAAAAAAATGGTAACCTAAAAATAGCAACATTTACATAAATCAGACATTTGATTTAATATAATTTATACAAACAAAACACATTTACACTTTATTCACAAAAAAGTGTTATGACATCTTTTGAATGTACAGTATTGTGTGAATGTTTGATTAGTTTACCCTGTAGACCATGTCTATGTGTTCCTGTGAATTGCTGAAATCCATGGCGAGATCTGAGATGCACATAGAGTCATGCTGGCATTTGTGGACCCATTTCTGGTACTCTGAGCTGCTGGGAATTCTGTCCAGAAAGATCCGGAAAGCCTCCCATACAGCCTCCTGGCAAACTGACAAGGTCAACAAATAAGTGTTCAGATGAGAAAATTCACAGTCTTTCTGGATCTGTTTTCTAGTCAAATATATTTTTCTGTTTTGCTAAATTGCAATGAAATAAAACTGAAGTCATACAACAGAGGTATTTCATTCATTCATATTTCATAAACAATTACTTGTCTTATTTTGATTAATTATACCCGTTTATTCTCTGTAGATTACATTTTCTGCCTTCAACTGCCTTGGCATATTTCTCTAAATTTAAATACACTTCTCATAGATGGATCTATTTTATGACTAACTGTTTATTTATTTATAATTAATAAAGCTGTCACGATCACCAGCTGGAGTGCCCATGAGCTCCACCTTGCCTTGCCTATGTGTTTTTGATCTTGGACTGTTTCCGTGTTTTGATTGTTTGCTGCCTGCCCTGACGTTGCGCCTGTTTGTTACTCTCTTGGATTATTCTTGGATGTTATTGTTTGCTGGTGATTTCTGACCACGCTCTTTTTAATAAAGCTAGCATTTGGATCCAGAAATCTGGTGTCATGACTCCCACGTTCCAGAAGCATTTGACAGGGTTCAACACTTAATTTTAGAAAGTATTTATTATTATTTTTTGGTAATCTTTTTTCTCTCTCTCTCTAGCACCTACACTTTAAAAGAGCATGTCAGTGAATACGTTTATGTAATTCGAGCATAGTTGTACTGCAAATTTGAGCATACCACTTGTTTGATGTATTGTTTTTTCATACTATATGGTAGGAAGGCATGTATTTTATTGTGGTTACTTTCATGATGTACTTACAATGTGAAATAAAGTGGCTTGCAAGTTTTTGGTCTGTCTATGTCTATGCTACCTATTCCCAATTTTTCACTTCAAATTACTAGCTATGTTTCCATCCAAAGATGCAAATTTAACTTATGCGCAAAACTGGAATATCGCATAAAACATTTGCGAATAAAGCACCGTTTCCATCCAACGAATGAAAGAGAACAAAATTGTCACTTCCTGATAAACTGGCACTAAATATCACTAAGAAAACTAGGAGAAGCCACTGAATCTAATAATTTTCATATGTAATAAATGACTTGAGCTTCAGAGAGAGCAGACGTAACACAATAAATGCAGTCATTGCTTTTAGAGGTGGATGTCTGCTGTTTGGGAACGCAGTCGTGTAAGACAGTAATTATACAGAAATACTTTGATGACAGACTTTCCTCAGGCATTTCAGAACGACCAAAACAACATATAGATGCTGTGAGCGAGATCGGTCTGCTGGTTAGCTAAGTTATCCCGTCTCATAGCGCAAAGTCACATGACTTTTTCAATGCGCATGGTGGAATTTATTCGGAATTTAATGTGTTTCCATCGTAGTTTATGCGCATTTTTTCTTATCGGATAAAAAGTTTATCCTACTCAGTTGTGCGCATAAGTTTTTTATGCGCATTTTTAGAATTTATGCGCATCTTGGTGTTTCCATCCAGCGTTTTTTTATGCGATAATCCAAAATGCACATAAAAATAGGTGGATGGAAACATAGCTATTGTCCGTTTGATACAGGTATGTCCAGTTTTTGGAGCACATAACCTAAATATTTATTTTCTCACTTTCACTGAAAAGGGAAACTGACAGCGACACTTTTGTTTGTTCTTTGTTAATTGCAAATGTATTTAAAAAAATCAAAGCTCAACAGGTATGAAATATCTAATGTAAGTGAAAAACACCATTAAAGACAAGGCCAGCAGTACTACTACTAGCACATGCTACAGGCAAATATTTTATATTTAATAATCTTAAAACATTTAACTCATTTATTTTCATGTTTAATCTAAAAGCATGATTTAATTAACTGACCTAAATGTGAATTTAAATTCACAAGTCGGTAGTCACCTTTATCTGACACACCCATTTCAAGTCTTGGAGTCTTTACTAATGAGCTGATGACCTGAATCGGGTTTGTTTGATTAAGGGGACATACAAAATGTACAGAGTTTCGAGGGCAGCTTCCAGGAATTGGGTTGAGAGCCACTGCACTAAACAGAACCATTGATGCGTTTGGATGGTTAAACTTTCTAAAACGGAAGATATTCCTATGTTTTACAGCCATGAGTTACCTCTCAGTGTGTAGTATGTTTGGTGGCTTGCTATGACTTCCCTCATCGTCTCCTGCGGACATACTTTCACCTCTGAGTGGAAGAAGTCTGACCTCTTGATGCGATGCTTTTCCATTTCAAATATAGTCCTGATCCCTGAATTCTGCTTTGGTGGGTTTGGCAGGTTTGTTAAGCTGATAGTGTGAAGGGTCTCTGATGGATTTAGCCTGCTTCGGTCTGTGAGAACAACAACAAATATTAATTCATCAAAAATAACAGGTTAGTAACTTTTGTTGTAGTTTGCCATATTTGTGCTAAAATATTCTTCAGGAGGTTGATATTTCACAGCTCTCAAAAGCCCTATGGGCTTTCAATTCACAGTCTTTTGCCAAAAATAGGATATTATGCAACGCTAACAGATTAGTTTCTTCACTCCTGCTTGAAGGTCATTAAATGTTTTAGTGAAAAGAGCAAGCAAATGTACATTCTGAAAATAATTCTGGAACTGTATGGTTCTACCAATACAAATTCTGCCATTTTTTTGCATTTGCCTTATAGGCCTATTTTTTTATTTTTTTGCTAACAATTTAGCTCAGGCCAATCTGAGGACACAAATTGTGTTGTTCTTTGGTGGTAGAGGGCAATACTGGGGGAAAAAACTCAATGGTGCCCACATGATCTAATCTTTCAATTTTATGGTAATTTTCTCCATTCTTCAGTTCTCTTCACCTCTATAGTCCTGCTTGAAGGTCATTAAATGTTTTAGTGAAAAGAGCAAGCAAATGTACATTCTGAAAATAATTCTGGAACTGTATGGTTCTACCAATACAAATTCTGCCATTTTTTTGCAGTTGCCTTATAGGCCTATTTTTTATTTTTTTGCTAACAATTTAGCTCAGGCCAATCTGAGGACGCAAATTGTGTTGTTCTTTGGTGGTAGAGGGCAATACTGGGGAAAAAAAGTCAATGGTGCCCACATGATCTAATCTTTCAAATTTATGGTAATTTTCTCCATTCTCCAGTTCTCTTCACCTCTATAGTCGTTTGCGTGGCTATATTTGAAACTCGTCGTTGTTTTACACTTACAGTAAATGAAAACAACTTAAAACACTGTTACATGTTATCCATCAAAACAACATTTTGGAACCTTCTACACATTGAAAAAATATATTGGTGTGTCCACTATAGAACTATAGAAATATTTCATATTTCTTTGATAGGTCACAATACTAATCACAATATATGCCCAAAAGAGCATCCTCATTCTTAACTGTAACACTACACTGTAGAAATCAGCCATTTACAAATTTAAACCAAAATGGCCGTCCTCATCTACAGCTTGTGATAAACGTTAACTTTGTTACCTTGAATTCCTGTGACGGACACAATGAAGAAGAGCAGTGTGAAGAGATGCCCACATTTCAAAGACATGCTGACTTCAAGTCTTAAATCTAACCCCATGCTGTATTGAGACCGCACAAGACTTCAGGTGCTAAGTCCTTTTTCGAAAAGCAGGAAACGCCATCATGGTCCCTGACCTTGTAGGCAAGCACTGAGACCTGAAAATGCAAATAGAAAATGGAAATGCAGGAAACTGGAAATGAAAACCAATTTTCGGTGTCGGACAGAAGACAAAACTGTAAACGTAAAAAGCAGAACGCAAGAGAGAGCGGGGTACTGATAAACGATACTAAGACTACTAAGGTGCAGTCTTGGTGTAGAGGCATGACATTGTGTGACAGATTACGGTGAATGAGTTAAAAAAGCGAGATCTGTTTCTGGAATAATCTGATTATCTGATGCTCAGACATAATCCCCACCTCATCCAATTAGTGGCTTTTCCATTCAAGCATCTGTCACCTGCAGTGCCAGCTCAATCCCCCAATTCATCTTGGGCTGCCGACCCGTCGCTGACCTCGGGAAGTAGCAGGGCTCACCCCGGTTCTGTTGCATGCAGTCAAGCCTCCCATGTGAGTGCATGTGTGGACAGAGCTGCCAATGATTTCTGACCTTATTGCTGGGTTTAAAGTGGGTGTCCTTTCTCAAAAATGCATGCTATTTAAAGCCTGTTGAGTCTGACTGCTTTTGAACTATGACTGCCATGATAGGGATGAGTGGAGGAGAGTAATCACCACTTCCATTGACGGTCCAAAGACTTAGTCTATAAATACTAAAGCCTTGGCATCGGATGAATTGCATGCTAATTCACTAATTCATCAATCCACAAATCAATCCAATTTTCATGGCCAAGGAATACTTTCTTTAATCTTTTCAGTCTTTAAATAGCAATGCTGTAATATAATTTTATATAATATTTTAAGTAATATTTGTAATATGTAATATAGTTTGTGTATATGCACCTATTTGATAACGGTAAAATTGTGAGGTCGGTAAACGGTTTGTGAAAAAATTCAGTCCTTTGCATCCCAGTTTGAGTCCATTTTATTTGATGTTTTATTTCATCTTTAGATGACACTCTGATCAGAGGTGCAGGCTGGATTGTATTTACAGGAACACTTTAAATGACGACAGAGAGCTTACACTGTAAAAAATGACCGTGAATTTAACGGTAAAAGACTGTAAAAATGCTACAGTAAAAACCTGTTAAATGGTTAACGGTAAATTCCCCTACTATATACGGTGAAAAACTGTATTGGACATTACATGTATTGGACATTAATTTTACGGTAGTATACCGTTTTTGGAAGTGAAAAAGACTGTATAATTTACAGTGAATAACCGTAAATTGACATTCCCAGAATTCCCTGCGTTACATTTCAAATTTGATGGTTTTTTTGTTGAAATAACTGTTTCTTCTTCAGTTTTGTATATTAGGGTTGTGTGTTACACCTAATGTTGTTAAATGAATGTTTATTGCATTATTTCAGTTTCATGTGTGTTACCATGATGGTGTTTAGTGTTTGTGTGAATGACACTGTGCGCCTTCTATATATGTTATTATTTAAAAGCTGCTTGTGATGGGCTTTGGTTCATCATGTGACTTTCTCATCACCACTTGCATTTGGTGGTTATCAGTGTATTACAAAGGTACAAAACAGATTTCAGTACTTCAATAGGTTGGTATATTAACATTATTTCAGTTAATGAAATTACGGTATTTAACTGTAAATTTAAGTTAAAACAGTAAAACCTAAAATGTTGCTACCATATTTTTCACGGTAAAATTCCAGCAAGCACAGCTGCCGGGTTTTTACCGTAAATTTTTTTAACAGTGTACGTCATGAGATGCTGAGGATGTCAACACGACTCTGACCCAGACTCCAGGGTTACACTGACTGATACTCGTGTGTCCATTTCCGTCAACATATTGCTCAGTTTTTACACTGCTTGACTGTTTGAAAATTAAAGCTAGTGTGTAACAGCAATCACGCAATAATTTGTGCTTCATCATTATAGTCCACGCAAAGTACATAAATCTTACAATTGTCTCTCCGCATCAGCAAAATGAAACAAACAAACAAACCAAAAATCTGTCTGTTGATTTAATCCCACTTTGTAAACAGAATTCCTGATAAAGGGCTAATGACATTTTGTAAGGAAGTCTAATCCGATTGAACTGTCTTGTTTTGATGACTGGAGAGCTGCTCTCTGTCTGGTCAGTGCTTTATTGCTCAAGTACTTCCGCTAAAATTTGGAATCACTAAGACATTTTTATGTTTTTGGAAACAAACAAACATACAAAAAAAAAAAAAAAGTTAATTACTGCAACCAGCATGTAAAACACTAATAATCTAAATTATTAGTACTGTCTGAAATAACATTTTTTTCCCCCCAGTGTTATTATGTATTCCATTGTTCCATCATGAATTCAATTGATAAGATGCAGCCTTTACTTCAGTCTATTAAGAAAAACTTGTGTTAATTAAAAACATAAATCCTTACGATTAATCATGCTTTTTGACCTCATGGCACTTTATGAGCTTTAGAAAAAATGCAAACAAGATGTATATTGAGGACAACATTATGCTTTTTTTTTTTTTTTTGCTCTAAAATTATTTCATAGTCAGACTGTGTGACTTATAAAGAATCATTCACTGTTGCCAACAAATATTCTGCAATCAAACAACTGCTAAAGCTACACACAAAACAGAATAATGTAAATCTACTAAAAATGTTTTTAACAAACACAGACCTATAGAGTCAAACGTGTGTGAAATAAACTGAATTTTCCCCCCTAAACAACAATGGTGGAAATAACACAAAATTACCAGTGCATGCACATTAAAATATGAATGTATATGAAAATATATAAATCATAGTTAGCAGTTACACGTCATTTCTATATGAATGCACATTTTGAACTAAAGTCACATTAGACTACAGTAACCCTCAGCAGACCTATGAAAATTTTACATACATGGGAAACAGCGCCGTCTAGTTATAGATGTCAGCATAACAACACTTGACAACTCTTGTCTCACACATGGTAATGATTGAGTGGTCTAGGCATGGATTGTTTACTGAAAGATAATAGGTTACCGTTTAAACCCCCAAAGCGTTGAACATTGTGCTTTGACTGTAGAGAAAAGGAACAGCAACCGTTGTTTGACAGTAATTTATACCTAAATAATAACACTGAGAAACTGTAGCAGCCTTTAAATTGTGCACTTTAAATTGCGTTCATTGAAAAGCTAAAAACGTGTGAAATATGCTTTGACCCAACGTGCCTGTCCAATTAAATAGCCGCAGTTTCTTTTTTAATGAATATTCATTAGAATGGGCGGGGTAATTTCGAGGGGGCGTGTCTGTTCTGTTGAACGTTGACTGTTTGATTACACTCTCGTCAATTAGAAGTGATTTAACAATGGATTTTCTAGGAAATTACTCTTTTCGACGTTAATTTGACATGTATTAAGCGTCTCAGAGTGACATCCTAATGTTTGGAGAAGAATGGAGGACAAATCTGCCTCAGATTGTGAAGGTAATATCACTCAGGAACGTTATACAGGTTAATAGGTTAATGCTATTCTAGGCCGATAACCCTACAAAACGTTGGCACAGTCAAAGCTGTTATTGAGTTTTTAAAGTGATTATTGGATGGTAAAATGCATCAAACATGTTGCTGCAAAAGCCGTGTTAAGCACTGTCCCACATTAGCTAAAACTGTTCATTGTGGACATTTACTGACTGCATCTGAGCCGTTATACTGACATGAGATTACCAGTGCTTTGCATTTCTGTGGAAACAGTTCATCAAAGACTGTTCCAATCGTCAACATGTTGTTTCTTCTAAGCGATGGAGTTTACTGGAGTTGTTTGAACTAACGGTACATATTTTTGGCGCCGCCTTATGCAAGGCACGTTTATTAATATAACGTTAGCACATTTCATACACAACGGTAATTCAAAAAATGTTTAAATATTTTTTTAAATAAAAAAGCAATTAAAATAATCATAAAAATAATCACAACAATAAAAGCAAATAATAAAAAAACTGATTTAAAATTAATTCAAACCGTTCAGAATAAAAGCTTCTAACTATGTGTGGCATAATAGCTAAAATCAGACTCCCGTTTGAATGAAACCTTGGTATTTCTGACTTGATCCTAATAATCTGAATGGTCTGTTAGGTTTATATTCAGTTAGCATATCTGCAGTGTATTGAGGTCCGAGGCCACTGAGCCTTAGTTGTGTTCCTAATCATTCACTGAACTTTCACTATACACTATAGATGTGCACCCTTCACTGATATATAGATAGAATATAATAATAATAGATTATTCAGGACAACAATATATATATATATATTAGTGTTGTCAAGCGATTAATCGCGATTAATCGCATCCAAAATAAACGTTTTTGTTTACATAATATATGTGTGTATACTGTGTATATTTATTATATAAATACAAACACATGCATGTATATATTTAATAAGAATAAATGAAACTTGTTTTTATGCTTTCAAATAATTAGACATGCTAAATCAGAATTTGGTAACAATAAAACATAAGGTTGGGAAAAATAAAACATTTCATAGGGCCCTAAACATGTAATTTTTGTTGAATTTTTAATAAATTGATGTTAAATTGTTTTACGATTTTAGTTTCATGATTGTAATTAATTAAACATGCTTTTTGAGTAATAAAATTTAATTTAACCATTAAAAAGGAGTCCAGAAAAAAAAGTATATATATATATATATATATATATATATACATACACACACTCAAAATTCTCATAAAAAAAATTATTTTTTAAAAATATCTGAAAAATCCATTATGCCTTATAATCAGTGAACATGGCAATTGTTTTTTTGTTTTTAATTTCTAATTATTATTATTTATTTTTATTTTTTTTATTTAAGCATCAAGCATCCATAAGATATTGAAAGATTATATATTTGCAGTTGATTTCCAGCTAAAGTTTTGTGGCTGTCCGTTGTGATTAGTTTGTTCTCGTTGTCTCTTCAGTGACGTTTTATACGACAGCATGACAAGACATACAAACGAGACAAACTCTTAAGTTTTCTAAATAAAAATACTCACATGTTCTCATGTAATATATCCACTTCAGATATCCACTTAATAAATAAATAAATAATTACATTATTGTAGTTGTTGTCATTTTAGCACTAAACATTTAAAGTAGTGTCAGGTGGTTTCATGCAAATGAAATAGTTCTTACAATCCACCAATAAGTTGTATGAACAAAAGAAACTAAAAACTTAATTAAATTTAACTATGTACAACCCATTAATCATTTGTTAATTATGTGTTATAATTTAGTTTTACTTGAAAATGTGTGGATTATTATCACTTCAGAGTTACATCACTAGACTTTCTGAGAAGGACCCAGGGGTTTTTGTATAAATCACAGAGTGATTAGTGCCCTTAGCACAATACTGGGGCATTAAAAAAAACTTAATTTAAGTTCATATGATTATCTGCATTTGTTAAGGAACAAGGACAAAAGCAGGTTCAGTAAAACTCACATATATAACACATAAACTCATATGCATCATATTTTTTTTCTGTGTGTGCTGCTTGTGTCCAGTGTGGATGTGATGTCAGAAGTGGACTAGTTCTTGCTTACGATGAACTGTTGCATGATCTCTGTAGGAGCGCTGAGCTGGTACACGAGAGTCTCTAAACTGGCCGTGGCTGTGGCTGTTATTAAGATCAGCCCATCGGGAGGAGCCAGACAGTTCACTGAATCTCTGGCTGACAGACTCAGACAGCAGGATGAAGGCTGGAGGTCTACAGCTCGAAGTCTTCATGAAGATGTGCTGCGTCTCAGACAAGAGCTGCTGCTCGCTCGCTTACTGTTCAAGAAGAAGAGTAATGACGGGCCAGGACATGGTAGGACTTTATATCCATCTGTTTCAGGCCTGGAAATTCAAAACAATTTATCAAATCTTAAACATTTTTTTTAATGAATATGCCTTTATCTGCGGAAGCCCTAAGGGATCAAGGATTATTATTGTTTTTCTTTCTTGTTTTCTCGTGATATCGACATAACAAAAGTTGTTTTCTCATTATCACAACTTAATATTTTCTCGTGATCTTGACATAGCATATGTTATTCTCTAAATTACACAATTGCGACACTAGGTGGCCGTATAGAACTGAATATAACTGATAGAGTACATATCCACCTTACTGTGTTAGTTCATATTGGCCCCAAACTGTGTTTGGGACTGAGTGAAGACCTTCTTTGTATTGTGCAATATTGGGTTCATTACTAACAAGTAATTAACTTGTAATTGTTAAATGCTTGAATCAATATGATTATTTTGCTTGAAAGTGTCGTTACTTCCTTAATCCTTATGCATGACTCCTCACAGTTTCAATAGCGCAATAGTGTTTGGTGTGATACTAAACTTAATGCTTATTAAAACTAATGTTGATGTCACTGTTTAGTATATTATCTTTATTTTGTGCATCTTTAAATTTAATAAGTGGGGATTATGTTTATCTAGGACGTGCTTCAATGACATTTTATGTTGTGTATTTATAATGTGCATTTTATTCTTATCTTAATCTTATATTTTTAATCATTAAATGTATACACACACACACACACACACACACACTCTTCTCAAACAGCATCCCAAGCGTGTAATGCACATGATATTAGTCACAGCCTATTCTACATGGCAAATAAAAATGCTTGCTTGCTTGCAGTACAATACATTATTCATATACTGTAGACTTTATTATTAAGCAAGCAAACTGTTTTAATTACAGATGAAAATGGGGTGTAGAAAGGTTTGCAATCAGATGACTAAGGCCCTGTTTATACTTGGTGTGCATCTATTTATTTAATAAGTGGGGATTATGTTTATCTAGGACGTGCTTCAATGACATTTTATGTTGTGTATTTATAATGTGCATTTTATTCTTATCTTAATCTTATATTTTTAATCATTAAATGTATACACACACACACACACACACACACACACACTCTTCTCAAACAGAATCCCAAGCGTGTAATGCACATGATATTAGTCACAGCCTATTCTACATGGCAAATAAAAAAGCTTGCTTGCTTGCAGTACAATACATTATTCATATACTGCAGACTTTATTATTAAGCAAGCAAACTGTTTTAATTACAGATGAAAATGGGGTGTAGAAAGGTTTGCAATCAGATGACTAAGGCCCTGTTTATACTTGGTATTAAGATGCGTTTTGGTCGATCGGATCACAAGTGAACAACGCTAAATACAGGTGTAAACGGAGTGTGAAAGGTTTTGAGCTCGTCCACTTTCGACCACTTCCAGAGGCAGTCGAAAACGCATTCGACCGGATTGCTTTCGTGGTGTAGCCGCTGATGTGGTCGAATGCGTTCGAGCAGCCACTAAAGACCGCCTACTGACCTAATACGCGTGCTTATCAGACGGGATTTAAACTTTGATGGGCTGAATCAGAAGTATGATTTTCTGATAACACAAAAAAGAATCAACAGCAGTAAGTACAAGCAGACACAATATTAGTGCGCGATAACTTTAACCCTCCTGCTCATGTTTTGACGCTGACAGAGGGATCTGCCTATTTACCCTCCTCTTGACGTAATCAGCTCCACGGGTTGGGGGTAATCTGGCCAGAACAGGTCGAAAGTGGATAGAAGGGTCAGATTAAAATGCCAGGTGTTAACAGGTATGTCTTTATTATTGCCCACTTGTGATCCGATCGACCAAAACGCATCTTAAAACCAAGTGTAAACAGGGCTAAAACACCTACAGAGGTGGTCAAAAACCCATATGACCACACTTAGGGCTGTGACGGTGGCAGATTTTTACCACCGTGGTGGTAATGGACCAACTACCGGACGCGAGCGGCGCGACACGACAATACTATATGCAATACTATAGAACTCATTATAATCAGTGATGCTACACTGGATGCGGTGCGACACGACAAATCCCCGACAGTAAACTGCCTCGTTCTATTTATGAGGTACTGACACAGAGTTCAAATGTCCTGTATACAGACTCAACCTGTTGCGACGCGGCGGTGTCGTGTCCGGCCGGTGTAGACACGGTTCACTGTTCCGCCGCCGAGCAAGCGCCGCATTAACTCCTCGTCTGCACGTGCTCTCTTTGAAATAGGAATCGTTCCCACATTTCTTGTTAACATCTTCCATTTATCGCTATCTCGTTTGTATTTGGTCAGTTTGGAGAAAGCCTCACCAAACCTGACCAGCCAGGCGTTTGCGATCACGGGAACTTGAGAAGACACTTGTACAAATACGGATGGGTGACATAAATGGAAATGATTGCATATTGGCGATGTAG